GTACTGAGGTGCTTCGAAATTTTCAAAGGCATTTTTTATGAGTCTCGAAAAATCATCTTCTTGTGTATATATTTCTAATCCTAATCCACTGAGAAAAAAAAAATTTTTTTTTCCGAAGAACATAAAGAAATCCGAAATGGAATTAAACTATATAATCGTGCGGCTTTGATATCACACCAACCAACCTTTGGCCTATAAGCGTCTTGAGTACGTTCGTGGAGATTCGTGTTGATGTAGACCACATAGTGACCAGCTCTCACATTTCCCGAATGAACCAGAACCGCGTGCAAATTGTACAAACAGTCTTCTGGATTTACACCTTCGGAGAACTCAAACAAATTCAGTTCTTCTGGGAACTCGAAGCTGAAATCTTTTGTAAATGACATTTTGTTTTTGCTTTTTTCACTACCGGTCATTAATTTTCTGCTCCGAACCCAGATATTGAAAACGCATGAGGTGTAAATGAAGGATTGGCGGCAGATGGGAGAACTTGGTGTACTTCTCGGCAGGCTGATGTCCATGAATGCCGGCGTCGTACTTGTTAGCGCCATCCAGAACTTCTAAGGCAGTGTATTCTTGCAGAGATTCGTATACTGAAAGTATTTAATCGCGTTTTTTTTTCAATTCATTCAAAATTCAAAGTCCATAGACAACCCACTAGTTTTTTTGCCCTTGACATTCAATTGAATGTCATAGAAGTTTTCCGTTCGTCCACTTTCGTAAGGAACATTTAAACAACGAATGAATGTGCGCATCTTTCCTTTGAAAAGTGAAGGAATGACATTTTCAACCTGAAACTTCCTTTATAAAACTTCCGAAAAATGGAAAAAATAGTTAGTTCGAAAGGTTATCGGTCCAAGGGTATTAAAGGCTTTTCCTTATTACGGTGCAGAGACAATTTTTTGATGTGCTCAAAAAGCAAAAAATATTTTCTCCTTAGCTCTCTCACGTCTTAAACTACCAATAAATGCTCGGAGATTTAGCATGAGGGTATACCGACCGAGGAACCTTTCATCTTTGTTTCGAGGTTGTCGAGCAGCACACGGCAGAACTCTTGGACGTCCTGCTGCATTATTGTTTCTATTGAAGACCATCCGAATGACATTGTGAGTCTTCTAGTTCCAACCGGTTCAGTCGAATTCTGAAACTCGACATCATCGAGATTAACAGGTATTCTCAGCTACCATTAAATAATAAAATACTCTTTGGAGAGCAAGAGTAACATTCCGAGTAACTTGTTCATTGATAACCGGCATAGAAAAGACCGCCTGAAAAAGAACCTTCAAAAAGGGAAAACATTACCAACGAACTTTGCGGAGAGCACCGGTGAAGAAGAACGACTGGAGCAACGAGTTCATATAACACGTAGCGCCAAGGTTCTTCAGTCCTACAAATCCTCTATCCCATTCGAGGCCTTGTGGAGCGTCCGCGGAAACGTGAACTTCTACTCTGACCGTGTCGTTGTATATAAAGCCATTGTTGGGGTTTTCCAAGTACTGAAAATTATTGAGCTGACTTTGGAGGATTGCAAATCTTACATTTAGTAGCGCCACAGTGCCGTAACCCCAATCTTTTACTCTATAAGTGAACGTATGATGAGTATCGAACACGATGTCCTGACCGCCGACACAGTTTATGATCTGAAATTCCGTGTATCTATATAACAGTGTTTTCGTGCAAGTTTACTCTGATCGTAGCCTTCGTGGCACAGCTCCAGTATTGACT